TATGCCCAACCGATTTGCATTTCTTAGTGACTAATAATCCTGAGCATTTATTGACCCACTTCTTGGTCACTTGCATCTCTTCTTTGAAGAAATGCCTATTCAAGTTTTTTGCCCATTTTTAAAATTGTGCTTTTGCTGTTGAGTTGTGGGAGGTCTTTATTTATTCTGGGTATTAGATCCTTATCAGATATATAACTTGTAAATATTTTCTCCCATATGCTAGGCGGTCTTCCACCTCTTTTGGGATTGTCCATCGATGCACAAAAATGTTTTTAATTTCAATGTCCATTCTCTAATTTTTTTCTTTTGTGGCTGTGCTTTTGATGTCATATTTTAAAAAAGGTCATTGTCAAATCCAGGGTACTGAAGATGAACCCATATTTTTTTCTAAGAGTTTTTCCATTTTACTTCTTAGATATAAGTATTTGATCCATTTAAAAGTAATCATTGTGTATGTTGTAGGGTAAGTGTCCAACTTCATTCTCTTGCATGTTAATATCCAGTTGTTACATTTGTTGAACAGAGTGTTCTTTCCCCTTGAATGGTCTTGGAATCCTTGCCAAAAATTAATTGGCTATAGAATTCTGGATTTATCTCTGGACTATCAATTCTGTTCCATTGACCTAGATGCCAGTACCACACTGGTTAGATTGCTATAGCCCTGGGGTACGTTGTGAAGTTGGAAAATGTGAGTCATCCCAGCACTTTGGGAGGATTGCCTGAGCCTAGACGGTAGAGGCTGCATGATCAGTGCCACTGCACTTTAGCCTGAGTGACAGAGTGAGACCCCAACTCAAAAAAGAAATAGAAAGTAGGAAAGGAAAGAAGGAAACGTGAGTCTTCCAACCTTGTTTGTTGCTTGTTGCCATTGTTGTTTTTGACTATTCAGAGTCCCTTATAATTCTATATCAATTTTAAGATGGACTTTTCCATTTCCAAACAAAATAAACTGTTGGAATGTGTATAGGACTGCATGAAATGTGTTGATTGCTTTGGGAAGGAAGTACTGCCATCTTAACAATATTAACTCTCTGAGGGGTGCAGTGGCTCACACCTGTCATCCCAGCACTTTGGGAGGCTGAGGTGAGAGGATCCATAGTCCAGTATAGATTCTTGACTCCAGTGTCATCTGGAATAACTAGTCCAATGCAGTGTTAAGTCAGGTGTCACCTGTGATAACTGTAGTCCAGTACAGAGTATGGACACAGGTGTCACCTGAGTTCATTGCCATCCAGTAGAGAGCATAGGCATACTGGACACCTGGGGACAGCTGTGGTTCAATACAGTGTATACAGCATGGTGTCAAAGGGACTGGGTGTGAGTTTCATCTAACTTCTGAGTAACAGAAGCACTCCAGTAAAGTTCATGACATTATCCAGTGTGTTAGTCTACTCAGGGTGTGGGTGTGGAGGAGGTGAGGCATATACCTTTCTGATCCCCAACCCATATGATCATTGTGAGGACTTATTGGCAAAGTATAGGCAAAGTGTTCAGAATATTTCCAACACATGTTAGCTCTCAATAATTATTGGTCATATAATATGCAGTGTCATTATAAGTATTTTCAGTACCTAGAGTCGTTTAGCAATATTAAAGAATGCAACACAATTAATGAGACAATCATTTGGTAAACTTCCACTATTTTCTCTGATGTCTAGGTTGCTCTGTCTGCCTGTTTAGAGCACGGGTGCATGCCCAGCCTTTGACCGGGTTATGTTCCACTCATCTTGGAGGCTTATTATTAGATGTAGCCTGTTTTTCTTTCTCCCCCAGAAATACAAAAAAGTCAACAAATGGGTAGGATTTGGATTCATGTATTGTCAGTCCATGGTTTGACCTACGAGTATTCAGCTATGGATTGAGCCCCAAAATGAATAAGAAAAGTGGTGGGTGGATGTTTTCTTCGTTTTAAAGTATTCGAATTTTAAACACTGTTACCTTCAAATAGGGAGTTTAGATCACGCTTTAGATGATTTTCATTTTAGCTCATGACAGCTCATGGGGAAACAGTGGATGCCTAGATACTTCCACAAATGCTCCTGGCATCTGTATGCCATGCATTCCGTGGGCTTCCTCCCTTTGGCTTGTGTGAACAGGTGAAGCCATTGGCCCTGAGTCCCCCCACTGGGAAATAAAAGAGCCGGACCAAGGAAATCACAGGGGTTGTTAAGATTTTCAGTGTGGTAGTTATGAGCATTTTCCTAGCTCCATCCCTGAAACCCAAAGTTACACAATAAATTCCCAGTATGTTAATGATCAAATGGCAAAGACTGGATCCCATAGTCAGTTATAGTTTAACATAAATCCACTCTCCCATCCATATGCGATAAAAGCAAGTTCTTGATCTCCTTACTCAAGGAGATTGCACTCTGTGGTTTCTCAGTTTCCCTTCAGCTATCATCATTACGGTGTGCTTGTTATTTACTTTTATACTGAAATATCTTCCAACTTAGAGAAGTCTTGCAAAAACAACAAGTCACAACGGATTCCTGTATGAAAGTCACATAGATTCACCAACAGTGATATTTTACATTTGCTAGGTCATCTCTCTCTCCTTCTCTCTCATATATGTTATTAACTTTATTCCTAACCACTTGAGAGTAAGTTGCTGACATCATTCTTTTTACTTCTCAAATCTTCAGTACACACACACACACACATTTTTTTTTAGTAGGAGTCTCATTCTTTCACCTAGGCTGGAGTGAAGTGACACACTCACAGCTACCACAGCCTCAACTGCTGGGCTCAGGCGATCCTTCCTCCTCAATCTTCCAAGTAGCTGGAACTAGAGGGCACACGCTAACTTTGTGATTTATTGTAGAGACAAGGTCTCGCCAAGCTGCCCAGGCTGGTCTCAAACCCCTGGGCTCAGGCAATCCTCTCACCTCGGTCTCCCAAAGTGCTGGAATTACAGGCGTGAGCCACCACGCCCAGTTTCAGTGTATAGTTTTCTTTTTTTCTTTTTCTTTTTTTTGATTTATTGTAGAGATGAGGTCTCACCAAGCTGCCCGGGCTGGTCTCAAACCCATGGTCTCAGGCAATCCTCTTACCTTGGCCTCCCAGAGTGCTGGGATTATAAGTGTGAGCCACTGCACCCGGCCCAAAGAAACTTTTAAAACTATCCAATTCACTAAGGCTCAGTGTATATGTTTTAAGAGCCAGGATATAGTCTATAAAATTATAGAAATCAGGGAAACTAACAGTGATGCAATATTACTATCTAAAAAAATCCATATTGAAATGTGACCAAGCCGGGCTCGGTGGCTCAGCCTGTAATCCCGTGCCTTTGGGAGG